AGAAGTAGGTCACTGACAATGCACTGCAAAACATTTCGTTCTCTGGAGTCACTGTAGCTGCAACATCAAAAAGGCAACTCAGTCGTGCTTTTTCAAAGCCCTTCGAAGAGTGACCAGAATTTGGAGCGATGAGAAAAGTTCAGTTTCTCCGACAGTGCTGCCGAAATAAACATGAGTTACATTTCATACTTAAACCACTGAATGAAACGCAGGCATAGATAACACTGTCATAAAGTTCATAACAGCTGTCACAAGATAGCATGACAGAGGCCGTTTATCGATGTCGACGGTCAAAGAAGTACGATACACTTTTTGGGAAATGCTCAGATAGCAACATCAATCTTGATATTTATTGCAACATGTATGACAATGTCTTTTGATGCTATTATGCGATCTTGCAACTGCTCTCTACGTTATGTGAGCCTCACGTTTGGGGCCTTAAGTAAAATTTCATGCAATGAAAGAAGCTGACACTCACTTTAAAATAAAATAAAGCACAGGCAAATAAATTGCTTGGTTGCCATGAGCCTTCATAAGTCTACCTCCGGAAACATTGCTAATTTATGTTTTCATTGCGTATACTAATGAAAAACCTTCCCCCGGGTTCATTTTCCAGTAGTTATTGTCCATTCCAGAACATTTTCATTTCATCTCAAGCTTCAATTACATACACAAATGAAATAAGGACTGTTAGGTGACCTTTCAAAATTGTTTTCATAGAACTGACCTTTAAACACAATGGCCGAAAGATATGAATTTCAGAACAGAAAATTATTATGAAAACTATTTCATAAACTTTGTTAAAACTGTTGTCGGCGAAGGTCAATTAAGTTCACAAACCCAGTCTCTGGCTAAATAGAAATAACGGCCAGTTTTTGGCTCTCTGGGGATCCAACAAAGAGGGGGCCCCAAAAAACACCTGAGCAGGTGTAGGAGGACTGGACGTGCCATTTCTGGGGCTCGGCTTTAACTACAGCACTGCCCAGCCCCCCTGAAACCCCCCCACCCCTTTTCACCACCCTCCACTCACTACCCTCCAACACTTTGCAGTTGCCATCTGTCCATTAGTGACCCTGAAATGTACCTCTAGGCTCTTGAGTCACTGAAAGTCACTTTAGTCATTACAGGTTAAAATTCAACTCGTGGGTGGAGATTTCGGGTAGTGTGTGTGGGGGGCGGGAGGGGTGGTGTTGATGGCTGGGGCCAGGGTGCAGAAGATCTAAAGCATTTGCAAACTTTGAAGCCATTTTGTCTTTCAACGGTGATAGGATAATTACAGCTGCCGAAAAATGTATAGATATTTGTCCAACAGGAGCAAAGGGAATGGCAAGAACCCCAGAAGAGAAGGGCAGCTAGAAGAGTGAATTTCAAAGCGAAACGCTTCGTGTTCTGACAGCTTTCCCCGACCCGGGGTGCGTAGTTAACCGGCACCGCGCTGCGATTGGTTGTGCTGCAGGGCAGTTCAGTGCCGGCCGCTGCCCTCACGCTCAGAATCCATCACAATAACAGTGTTTTTCTGGTGAGGTCCACATCCACGCTCGCACTGAGAAACGGGAGCCTGCAGGCAAAAGTCACCGCGCCTCACACAGTGGGGGCACGAGACTCCGAACGCCCTGACCCCCGCGGGAACAGAAGAGGAAGTAGGGAACGCCGAGGCGACATGATACGCAATTTGACAGCGGTTCTGCAAACGCCACCCGCAGACGCAACGCTAGCGGTTCGCTTGCTCACATCCGCTTTTACAGACACTTTACAGAGACCTACATAACCAGTGTGCTCACTGTTTATCCAGATGATTATTATCCGCTGCCACGAAGCGGGACAGGGGATATTGGATTGGAGTCCGTCCGTCAGTCCCTTCTGTCCGTCTGTCTGGGCCACAATGGGGACAAGATTTCTCTGAAACTATTACACCTAGATGCGTGAAATTTTGTTTGCTTAATAAGCTACTCATGATCTACGTTGAGTTTGAAAATGGATGTTGAGGCGTATATTGTTCTGTTGCATATTTTTCCTCTTGTGATGTTATGTATATTTAATGTCTTTTTATTTCTTTCTGTGTTTCCCTTGTCACCTGTTGCTGCTGTAACACCAGAATATTCCAGTTTGGGATTAATAAAGTCTGCCCATCTATCTATCTATCTATCTATCTATCTCTATTTCTATCTATCTATCTATCATCTATCTATATCTATCTATCTATCTATCTATCTATATGTATCTATCTGGAAAAGCCTGCTGCCAGTTCTTGCGTCTCCACGATGGAGTTCAGCTGCCGTGAACTCTTGACCTGCTCTTGCTGTACCCACAGCCTCATTTAGCATATGTACCTTAACACCATTACTGGTGACAACACCGCTATCCCCAAAAATACGTCTGCTGGTTTGGACAGCAGGGATGGGGGTTTGGAAGGAGGGTTGCAGTGGGTGGGTGGGGAGGGGGAGCATGGGGAGCAATGGGGTGGTGGTTGGTAATAGAATAAAGGCTTAACATCCCTTCTTTGAAAACCCTTTAATTAGTAGTCCGTCTCAATGGGGGTGGTCTCGGCCCCTCCAGCCGAGTGACGGACCACTGCGGCGGCTGTGATGGATGGATTAATATTCGAGGTTCAGGGGAGGGACCCCTCGCCGAGAATGGCTTCTATGATCTGCATTCATGGGCAAATGGGAAAATAGGTGCGCCCGCTGGTCCGAAATATAATGAAAACCTCTCGTCCCGACAATAATAACAATGAAAAACCGACGACCTGCGGAGAAACCGAAAGGGCAATAACTCACAAGTGTCAGGCGCTGTAATAATGTGATAAATTTTCAATAATTTAATAAGCAAACCGTCTCCGAACCCAAAGTGTGGTCCCTTTTTAGCCAATAACAAAATCTAATTTTCAGACCTTTTTGTTCAGTTATTAGTTATTGCATCACTGGTGGCCATCGGTGATTATACGTCGTGGAGGACATTCATATGCATAACAGCCTGGTTAGATTCCATTTCTAAATTGAAAATGCTTTCATTCTGAGTTTACAAAGCTTGTAAACCCATCCTCGTATAACAGATAGGACTGAGAGCGCAGGTGTGATTTGCCATAGGTTTGGTGGGTCAAAGGATCTCGTCACTCAGATTTTCAATGTTCAGAACAGGCTAGCAGACCATAACCAAATAACAACCTTCAATGGACTTAATTACTGCTAAAATGCTGCTTCTTTCTATGAAGCATAAATTGAAAATACACAGAAATGTGCCATGATAAATAAGCAATCAAAAGACATCATGAGTATTTTATTTTTTTATATTTCCTCACACAGGGCAGAGAAGAGACTGTATTTAAATAATGTATCAACTCATTTTACAAAAAAAAAAAACAGCCAATACTAAAAAGAGATAAAGAAGAGTAAAAAAGTTCATAATTTAATCAAAAATTTGCATATTTTTAGTGATAATTTTTGTGATAAAGTGGTAAATACACAAGTGACAAAGTGGAATAAACACTAAAGGCAACATGAGAAAAAGTGAAATTCAGCATGCAGAGCTACACATACAAATGTCACTTTACACTCCAAATTAAAATCTCATGATTAAATCTTAAATTTTTTTTACATTTTTGTTCAATACAGCACAAAAGTTACAAATTAAGCTAACTGCCAATTAAAAAAAGAAGGTGCACAGCTGAAGTCTGTTCAGTCGTCTAATGAGTTGTCACACATATTTATGGGATATACAGTATGCATGACAGCTTCTGTCAGTCCCAGAGGGACACTGCATACGCATAATTCTGTCTGGTACCCAGCCATCTAAAGCATTATTTTTAGTCCCTTAATTAACGAGCGATTAATTATGTGTGTAATAGCAATGCTGTTTGGAGAAACATCGCAAGGCGGACATTTTCAGATTGGGGGAGAGGACCGCAACAGCAATCGAAGATGCTTTCACATCAACGGGTTTGAGAGATGAGATCAGCAATATTGTTTTCAGGGTCAAAGTGTGGCATAACAAGCATGAAAAGCTCAATGACCATTTAATCTCAATTTGAATCATTTCTAATGATTTTGGATTCACTGGGAGTGGAACGAGGTTGGACCGAGCTGACCTCAAAAGGCGCAAGTCAGGATGAAAGAACAAATCAAAAGATAATGACACTGCTAATAGGTTTTAGATTAGCTAGTTTGTGTCCATATTACAGAATAACTCCTCCTTTTTGCAATTTTCTGCAGGCATGTGCATAAGATACTGTATATTCTCCAGCAAACATAAAGTGAATATCAAGAAAAAAATTGTGCCACTGTCCAAAGAATTGCTCACTGTAAAATATAAACTTCGTACAAACTGATGAGCAAAAATATTATGTGTACTCACAGATCAACTCCAACTCTAACTCAAGTATTCCCTTAACTAGCATTACAGTCAGAAAAAAGTACTTTTTTCATATTGTAATACAATGTCACACACATATTCTGTATCTGCTGGTTGCAGCGCTACACTGAAGCTACATCACACTTACTGTATATTGAGAGAAATTTTCAAACCCAGGATGCCATGCTTTTATGGCCTCAGCATTACATCAAATAGAAAGTATCCAAATTTTGCGCAAGATTTTATACACATTTCCCTGTAATACAGCAGGGCATATTTTGGATCGTTGGAAACCTTTGGATCTCCACTAGAATTTAAAACAGGCCTGAAGTTCTGTTGGTTTGAATACAGCAGCTGCATTTGACGGACCCATATATGGGTCCATAGATTTTATGGAGTTAACCAAATAAAGTTGATTATCTCGCAATAAAAAAAAAAGAAAAGAAAAGGCAGTGTGTCCCGAGCCATCAGGCTGGTGTTTAACTCCAGTTTTTGTAGCATGAACCGAATAAGGGTATTGCCACCCCCCTGTATGGGATGCTAGTCCATCGCAGGTTAGGTTTCCCCAACCATGTGCTGGAACCCAATCGTACACCTGCGTGGAGTGGGGCACTGTGGGAGTGAAGTGTTTTTGCCTAAGAACACACCATTAAAGCCATGGCTAGGACTTGAACTAAAGACCTTTCAATCCCAAGTCGAGCACACTTCACCACTGAGCTACCGTGTCCCTCATCTTGAAATAACAACGCATGTCAAAATCTTCAAACAAAACTCAGATGATGAGCAAACAGTCGGTTCTAGTAGGATTGAACGCGGGGGAAATGGGACCAGAGAAATTTTGATAACGGCCAAATCATTATGGCCAGAAGAGTGGGTCTGGACATCCCTGAAGCTGCAAGGCTTAAGGAGTGTTCTCGGTCAGCAGAAGTGAGTATCTGCCGATGGTGGTCCAGGCAGGACAAACCATGACCCGGCAGCAGGACACTGGGTGCCTCAAGTTCATTAATTCACTCGGGCAACACAGCCTATCCCGTCTGGTCCAAACTGACAAAAGGGCCACTGTGGTGCCAGTCACAGAGAAGTTTAATGATGGGAAAATGTGTCCCAAATGCATTGTACCCTGTTGTGTGTGGGGTTTTGTTCAACCTCAACTCAGAAAAAGATGGGATGGTACAGAAGATGCACATAGAAACAGGAAGAAGTGATGTCTAAAATTATTTGGACTTGTATGTCATTGCAGACAGTAAGTCGGTGAAATATTTAATGTTTTGTCTGCTCAACTTTATTTTATTTATAAATATCAGAGGCGGCTGGTGAACTGACAATTGGTGAAGCCCCGAACATCCATTGAAAATAATGATTGGTCTTGACCTGTTTTCAATCATTTATTTAAATTGACATTATATGAATTCTGAAAACACATGGGACCACCAGGTGCTGCCTGTTCTCCTTATGAAGATAACAGGAGAACTAATGAATCCTGATCTGTCTCCAATCATTTTCTTTAATTAACAAGCTTTCCAATAATAAGAATAAGCCATCGGCAGTTAAAGGCACAGCTTCCTTCTTAATGTAATGGAGCAATGATCAAAAAAAATAGTTTTATTCACATTACAAAGAAGATAAACAACTATGTTAACTTTTGTGTTTGCCTCAAGCACATCCAGCACTATCTAATCTCAGCTTCATGAATGTTTAATTATGACAAAAGAAAGCAAAATTAACAATGGATATCTGCAAATGAATAACAGTGATTGAAATGCAATTTCGCATCAAATGACGCATTTTTTTCTCATGTAACCCTACTAAGGAAAGCCAGGCGCACCTGATAATGTTGTGTGTTTCCAGAGTTTATAAAATCTTAATGTAAATCAATGATGAAAAACAGTTCAAGACCAATCATTATTTACAAGGGATGTTTTTAATTCACCATTTTTCAGCTCACAATCTGCTTCTGGTATGTAGAAATTCATTCCTGCCATTTATCCCAGCAACGCATTCCAAAAAAGTTAGGGCAGGGGCAATTTAGGGCAAGTAATGAAGTAATAAGGCAAAGACTTTGAATAACGATGTGATTTGAAAGGGCCGATGTCAGTAGGTGATTATATGCATTCTTTCATACGACAACAACATCCAGGATGGGCTTAGTTCTTTAAGCGCTAAGATGGGCCTGAGGATTGCCAGTTTGGCCAGAAATGTTTTAGAAAACCATTGAAAGGTTTAAAAACCGTGTTCCTCAAATAAAGATAGGAAGGGATTTTATTATTTCACTCTCTGAGATGCAACATATTATTGAATGATCCAAGGAATCTGGCAGAATTTCAGTACATTAGGGGCAAGGATGCAAGCCTAAGCTGAATACTCGTGACCTCTGATCACTCAGACAGCACCTCATCAAGAATCAACATTTATCATTCAGCGTTATAACCACATGGGCTCAGAATTACTTTGGCAAACCTCAGTCAAGTTCTTCAATACATAGTTACATCTACAAATGCCTAACATTAGAGTGGTCAATACTTCTGTCCCAACTTTTTTGAAGTATGTAGTAAGAATCCAAATTGAAATTAGCCTTTATTTTCAAAAACCAATAGCATCAAAGTCATGAAACATCAAATAAATTGCCGTTGTTTTTCAAAGTTAAACAAGTCAAAGATAAGATACAGATTACTGCTGTCAGTTTTCATTTGAATGTAACATACTGTCTCAACTGATTTTAATTTTGGGTTGTGTAGCTCTGCAGACTATTCAGAGTGCCCGTTCAAACACCTGTCCACCATCGAAAGCACCAACAATGGGCAACTATGACCGTAATTGGGGCAACGGCGGAAGGTTGTCTGGTCAAATGAGGTCCGATTTTCTGTCATGTCATGTTCATTGGTCGAGTACGCGAGCCCCGTATACCAAGGGGAGAGGTGGCAGGAGGATGCACAGAGAGAACAGGACTAGTTGGTGGAAGGTGCGTGATGCTTTGGGAAACTTTGGTCCGAACATTCATGTGGATGTCAATTTGACAGAGCTATCTCAGCGGCTCAGAGGACTGACAGCATTTCAGCAGGTGGTTATAATATTTGATTATGAGCAAATAGTGAAGAACACAGACTGATATTTTTAAAAACTCATTAACTGTGCTACAGATGGAAAATATGAACTATATCTGCCATATAAAATTATAAAACACTACCAGTCAAAAGTTTTTGCACACCCCAACATTTTCTGTAATTGTTACAATTTTTTTATATTTTGTTCTTGTGTAATAGTGTCATATTGTTTGTATAAGAGAAAGGTAGGAAAACTGAAGCCCAATGTATAAACCATGTATATAACAAAACAAATTAAGAAAAATCAGGATCAGTCATTTTGTCAGTATTTAAGCAGATCAGTAACGATGGTCTAATCCAGTGCTTCTCAAACCTCTCCTGGAGGACCACCTGTCCTGCATGTGTTAGATCTCTCCCTGCTCCAGCACAGGGGATTCAAATGATCTCCTCATTATCAAGCAGCTTCAGGGGGTCGATAGTGAGCTGATTATTTCAATCATCTGTGCTGGATTCCTCGTTGATTTTTCTTGTAAATTTATTATTTATAATAAACAAGTATTGGGTTCCAGTGATTTCTTTGTTGTAAACATACATGTAACTTGACAAGATCTGAGGGTGTGCAAAAACTTTTAACTGGTAGTGTACATGCGTGTGTGTAGGACTAATTGAACAACTATCATTAATGGAGGATCTACATTAAGTAATGATTTTTTCTATTATGTATGAGCAGTCCTCCACTGAAGACACAGAATAAATAGTGAAACGGAAATGAAAATCGCCAATTTCTGTTTATTGGTGGTTCAGCATTTAGCACGTTGACCTGACAAATTTGTTAGGCCAGAAAGAGGGCTCTTACTCTGTTGGAATACACAGCAAGAATAAAGAAATCAGAAATCAAAAGCTTTGCATAATAAAAGGCAGATCTAGTTTCTCCTCAAAGAGAAAACCACTCTCGCAGAAGGTTATTATCACAGCGGGAATCAGGAGAAAATAGCTGACTTCATAGACAGAAACTGCCAATATAACAGGAAAACCTCAATGTCATTATAAACACCAAAGCAAGTAACAGACTGAAGGCTATTCTTGCTCAGTAGGAGCAGCCACCATTTAAGCATTATTTTTTTTTTTTTACTTTTCTGTTATTTATTTTATTATTATTATTATTATTTTCATTTTGTTGCAGCAGTATCTACTAATGTTGAGTCTTATAATTCCAGGGTAGTTCTGAGCCTACTTTGTTTGATTTCAAAGCCAAACGCAAGTGACACATGTGGAGTCAAGATGAATGAATTGTTCTGGGCTTCATTTCCTTTTTCCTGCTTTGAAATGTGATGCTTTCCTCATCTCAATGTTGATACAAACTCGCATGAGTGTAATTTCATGTTGATCACAAAAAATGATTTCAATTGCGAAAGCTACATTAACGAAGGTGTTTGACTGAATCGTAGCCAGAGTTAAGAAGCGTAGAAGATCTATTGAAATTATCTGCTGAATTCTCCAACAATCAGTCACACAACCTTTAATTACATTCCCTCCCACACCTCAGACATCATATTGTATGCTAGACCTGGAGATGGGGTTACTGAGTTGATGCGAACTGAAGCAAATTGTACAGCATGGCTTTTACGCATTTCTCCGACTATCCTGGCACAAACCGACTCAAAATTGGTAAAGCTGGTACTTAGAGGCTGAAACACAAATGTCCAGAACGTTCCAGAAGTTTGGCTCATGACTGATAGACTTGCTGCAGAAACACCTTGAGGGTCAGTTCTGTGCTCATCTCAAGCTGTGTAAGAGCAAACTGACACCTGTGTGTCAGCATGTTATAGTAAGTTCAGCTCTCCAGAATAAAGTGCCATGATAGTTACAGGTCTGCCAATCCTTCAGTCTGAGAGCTCTAGAACTTCACAGTAAACTGTGTCCCGGCTCCACAGTCCAGTAGATCTGTGTGAGGTCTTATCTGTGTGAGGTCTTTTTCTTCCTGCTGAAAACCCTTGTCATGCACCACAGAAATTTTGGACAACTGAGTATGACTGATAGGCTGGATACGATAAAAAAATACGGTAAAAAAAAAAAAGATCTTGCCAGGTAAGTTATAGGTCTGCCCAGTGTATAAACTGTGGTCACCCCCGCTTCAGAAAAGGTGCAGATAAAACGGGCCAAAAGTCACGATTAACATACCTGCACAATAAGAGATGACATCATCTCACACACGCCTGGAGAGGGGAAACTTTCGGACAGTTTAGTCATTGTCTGTTACAGACTTACTGTATCATTGCCCATGTGTTCCAATGGCCTAACTATGTGCAGCTGAGCGTCACTCACCGTTTGCTTGTCTGGTCTGCAAGGACGTCTGGTTGCTGCCGTCCGTTATACTGAGAAAAACATTAGGCACAAAAAAAACAAAATGGCAAGTGCTTTAACCAATCAGCATCCTGTAGCTTTTTCTTATTATATACTCATTAAACCCCAATGTGAGAAAATAAACCGAGAGTGTCATTAATGAGGTGTGTCCAATTAGCCCGACAAGAGGATAAAGACTGCATGCTCTCATTCACCCACACGTGTTAATGCTCTCACATAAGAAAATGAACAAGCACAGAAAAACAGAGATAAGAGAAAAATATTGGAAAATAAAAGCCTCATTCTACTTAATGTAGACTATTGAGTTACCACACAGGGCAAT